CAGATTGGGAAAGAATTTTAGCCAGTAGTCCCTCAAACAAAGGACTTATGTCCAGAACACATATTAATGGAAACCACAAAACGCCAGATACTAAATAATAGAAATCAATACTAGGATGAAAATCTTGTGGAATCTAAACAAAAATTCAAAGGAGACAGTAAAAAATGTAGAAGGACAATAATTAAGGTGTGAAGATGGGGTAAAGCAGAAGGAGATAGGAAAAGGAAAATGTTACGCGGTATATTGGTAAACACATATAAACTTTTCCTTCCTTCCTTTTTCCTTTCCTTTTACCTCAGTAGTTCTGTCTTTTTGAGCACTTTCTTTCCATTTCATCATTATAATAGATACTGTACATTTTGGATCTTATTACTCTTTTACTTTATTATTATTATTATTATTATTATTATTAATTTTTTACATAAGGGAGACAATACAATACTTACAAATCTGAATCCAATTTATTTCACTTATGAATATAGTCTCAAGTTGACTTCATTTACTTTTAAAAGCCTCAAGGACATCTTTTTAAAAATCGTGAGTGCTTTAGCTCTTTTTAAAAAAAATTATTTAAAGAGAAAAAAAATAAAACAAAAAGGGTAGAAATAATACCTAATTTCAAAAAAAAGCACTAAGAATTCACTAGTTGATAAATTACACTGTCCTCTTAGAAAAAGTTGTTCTAGTTACAAAAGTAAAGCATTCAAAGTGGACATTCAAACAGTGAGACTGCTATATCTCTAGCCCTTTTTTATCTTATTTAACTTTTATTTTCTATTTGTTATAAATTGATCATTCCTATATGTCATATGTCTGAGTTTTCCCTAAACATCATTAAAAAAGTAAAAGAATCACCATTAAAAGCAGAGTACACTGCATCTCAAACAGCACTAAAACCAAAATCCCAAACAGGGTTTACATATTCACACACAAACACACACATATAAGAATATGCATACATGTATATTTTTTTGAATATACACATCAATGGCTAAACAAATTCAATCTCTTATTATGCTAAAATATGAAGGGTGATTAACATTATTAACACATATTACCTTGAAATACATAACATATATAAAATGCATTGTAACAGATGAAAATGCATTAAATTATTCTATAATTTTGTGGATGAATTCACAAAAGATTTGTTAGACGTTAAGTAAATAGGAAATAGCATAACAATGATATTTTCTGAGAAAAGACAAAAATAAGAGACAAAGGAGAACTAAAAGAGTTTAATGTTTATTGGTTTTCTAGTTAAATTGTGTGCATGTTTCAGTTATAAATTGCATTCAGAATTATTATTGTCTTTTAAATTTTTTATTTTATTGGTGCATCTTTGTGATTCATAATGATTACACTTTCATGGGAAGTTGGTATACACCTTAGTTATTTCTTCATCCCCTTTCCCTTCTTCTCACTCTTCCCTCACTCTTACCTCCTTCCATCTGTAGTGGTCATATTTACCTTTAAAAGAATATTGTTGGTTAAAGTTAAATCATGTGCACAAATAATATGGTCAGCTCACTTAAAATTATGCAGTGGGTCAATATTACTTAGGGAAAGGGCTTCCTGAAATGCTGCAAATTCCATCACAAAGCCCATGGCATTTCGCTTCTGAATAGCGAAATATTTATTTCATGATTTTCCCTTACATTGTCCAACTTCTGGAGTGCTGATATTGATATATTCCACTCACTGTGCTAGCACTATATTTTCAAATGAAAATTTTGCTGTCATAAACAAAAATTTTTCTGTAATTACTTTGCTAGGTCATTTTGATATATCTCAGAGGGCCAATTATATTACTTTTCTTTAGGAAGAAAGTAAACGTCGTATCTTTAATGTGTTTTGTTATGAGTAACTTCAGAAATATTCTTCAAGGCACATAAATTCTTAATAACGTTTGAGATGAATAGCGTATGGTAGCAATGAATGCGTATGAAAGACCAGTTTTAGCAATCATACTTATGCTTGTTGATTTCAAAACCTCTGTGCCAGGAGAAGACTGAAGAAATTTTTCATCAAGACATTAGTTGAATGATGTTCTATATTACAGGAGTGGCCACGTTGTACAAAAATAAACCAATATTCTCTTACATCCATTTTCAGATGATGCATGTTCCATCCATAAAACAAGGGGGAAATTGTCTTAAAATATGAAAGGTAAAACTGTACAAAAGTCTTTTAGGGGAAAAGTACTTGATGAAGCAACTCTTGAAACTACTGAAGACTATTATTATACGCCATTTCAGCTAAAACATACACAGGGAAGGTCATTCTTCTCATTTAAGCTAATATTCATGTAAAATTGGAACTAACTCGAAGTTCACCTTTACATTTCTTATTATTTCCAAACAGATCAACATAAGAATTATGTGATTCGCATGCAGGATTAAGATAGAATGGTGCAGAAATGATGTTTGAGAAGATAGTGCCTGAAAACTTGCCAATTTTGATTGTATGACATAAATTACAACCCAAGAAACTAAACAAACTCTGTTTAGGTTAAACTCATAGAGAACCATATAAAAAACATAATTGAATCTTGAAATCCAGAAACAGATTATCTCGAGAGAAAATGACAGAAATGACTCATCTTCATCAAGGAATTCTCAATAAATCTACCTCATAATTACTCATTAGAAATGACAGAGAGTAGCTTCTCCTTTTTCCACACATTCACTAACACTTGTTATTATATCTTGTTTTTTTTTTCATGATAACAAACAGTTCAAGGTGACTTTCAATGGCATACTCTTAAGATCATAAATATTGAGAAACTTTTTATTTGCCAATTGAGAACTCGTACATCTTATTTAGAAAATGTAAGCTCAAGTACTTTGTCCATTTAAAAAAAATTTCCCCTTTTCTATTGAGTTATAGGAGTTCTTACATATTTTGAATATTAATTATTTATCATTGCCTTTTTATTCTGTTAAATATATTACTGTGCAGATTACTTTTAGGTTAGCCACTCACATCTACTTACTTGTTTATACACTTGTGCTTTACTTGTCAGATTAAAGAGTTCTTTAACAAAACCAATGTCAAGATTTTTCCCTGGTTAATTTTTCTAGGAGATTTGGGATTTCAAATTGCATAAACTTTTAGTTGATTTCAAGGTAAGATTTGTAAGGGTATGAAATAAGTATACAACTATTATTTTGAATTATGGATATGGATAGCCATTTCCTCAACATATTTATTAAAAAGTCTGTCCCTTCCACATTGCATATTGTTGATAGTTTTATTAAAAAGTTTAGTTAGCATATCTGTGTTTGTTTCTAGGCTTTCTATTGTGTTCTATGCTTCTTTGTGTCTTTCTACTTCCAACATCTACTGTTTTGATTAGTAGGGTTCAGTGATATAGTTTCAAATTGAGGAATAAGTTGCTTTCAGTTTTTCTTCTGTTTCATGAATGGTTTGACTATTGAAGACTTTTTGTAGTCTTATATTTTAGGGTAAAATAGGTGTTTTTTTGGTTTTTCTTAATACCACTATATTTTTGATAGGACTTTACTGAATTCATAGTTCTCATGTTATGTATAGACATATAGTAGTGTGAATTCTCCAAATCTATGATTACAACTTCTTTCTATTTATAAGCAACTTCACATTTTTTCATGAATGCTCTGTTAACTTCACTGAGTTTTTGAAATTATCAATGCATTCACAGGAAGCATCTGAAAAAAAATCAATATTTTCCTTCTCATTTTGAATATTTTTAAATTTTGCTTTTTTTTTTTTACACGGTTTAGCATTGGCTAAATGTATTTGGTGAAAAAGTCTCTGAAATAAATAATACCACTAGGCTAGTAATACTATTTGGTTCCCATTTATATTAAGGACAGTAGTTGCAAGATTGAGTAAAATTTTAATTTCTCATTTAATGTATATTTGCATTATGGATTGGACACAGTCACTTTCATACATGTACTAAGTACACGCTTTTGATGATTCAGTCACATTAATGTATTTTGAGTCATATAAAATAACATGAGATACTACATATCCAAATTTTCTAATAACTAGGTATCTTCATGTGTCTCATCTCATTCTAGTATTTTAAAAATAGCATTAACTAACTATAGAAGGACTTTTATTGCATATATGCAGATATCTTGAGATTTTGATAATGATATTATTAACTATGTATTTTCAGCAGGCTCCAAGTATTTAAAAATAAAAACCCTAAATGATTTTTATGTACCTAAATTTTTAAAAAATGGAGTACAAACTAGTGAATATTTTGAAGGCATAGTTCATAGAACTTGATATTATTAGCAGCTTATGTTAAGTTATTGGCTTCTTGACAAGTATTTACTGATTTATACTTTTCTCTCAAACACTGAAAATTACATAGTTACACTTAGTGCCATTACTACCTTAAAACCACATAATTGTATAATTGGTTGTGTTTTAGAAATACTAGGAATAAGACAGCCTATACATTTTATATTCTAGTGTCATTTTTGATAGTAGAATTGAGTAATTTCTAGTTTTAAAAACTATGAGCTTATCATTAGCAGTTTAACAATCAAATTTCTATTTTCTCTATTTAATATTAGTTTTGCTATATCCTTTTTAAATATACACTAATTTAATGTTTTTAGTTTCTAGGTTCTTAATTTCACATTTACTTTTATACCTGCTACTTAAGTAGTATGATTAATAATGACTCTTTGAAAACTGTCCAAGTGTATAGTTTATATTTGAACTGCTCTGATTTATTTGGGCACCAGTGGTTGTATTATTAATTATTATATGCATGTTAAATAAATACATATAAATCTTAACGGAGTAATTTCATGTAATTTATTTCTGTGATCTTTCATGTCACTAATTTTATAGTAATATTTTAACATAATCTGTCAAAATATAAAGTCACTGTATTTACTATAAAAGCAATCATTTCTTATAATTCTCCTTGAAGCACTTCACTGAAGACCATCTGTCCTAAATAATGTAACAGTTTGAAAAATACTTTCATTTTGTTAAGTTTTGCTGTTTTGTAAGCAGTAGATATGTAATCACTGGAGTTGTAGATACACATTTCTGATGTAGAATAGTTGTTGGAGCAGCAACCTGGACAGTGTGGAGGGATCCACTTTAAAAGAAGTTCATTGTTTTCACAAGAGTTTTCCCTATGCAGATTCCAGCTGTCCCATTCAGTACAGTAAGAGAATGAAAAACAGAAGAATAACGCTTTCTTCAAAGTTATCAGAAAGCACTGTTTTCTGAAATTTGAAGTTAGATCTCATTCTGCTCATTTAAGGCAGGCTGCTGTGAATTTTCTTTTGGATCACTTATTCTCAGGTAGAATCTGTATAGACTGTCTGAAGCTTACTATGCGTCTTCTAAAAGCAAATTATAATATTCGTTTTACAAATATATCTGGCAATTACAAAATGCTTGACATGCGATATGGAAGAAAATAAGGCAAGAAAATTACATGAAAAATAAAAATGTTAAGAATGTAGGAAAATATGTTAGAATGTAGAAAGAAATTTTAAAATGGAGCTTTAAAGTGACTATAAACTCTTTGACCAACTGATTTAATTTGAATTCTACATAAAACATCTCTTTAATATACTTATTGCCATTTTAAAAATAGAGTTTGTCACTTATTAAGTAGCTTACATTTCTGTACTGTTGGCTGTTTAATTTGTGTTAATTCAATAAAAACAAGTGTTTCAATATTGAGGATATGTACTTTATTCCTTTGTATATATCTACTATATAGAATGATACTTTGTATTTATTTGTGGTTTAAGCTACAGATTTTATTATGATTAGTGCTTGTTTGATGATAATAGTGCTTTGGTGAAATCCTTCAGGGCCTGTTTCACTTGCTGGTTCCTTAGAGTATAAATAAAAGGATTCAGCATGGGAGCAACAGAGGTATTAAGGACCGCTACACCTTTGCTTAGAGCTACACCATCTTTCACAGATGTTTTCACATACATAAAAATGCAGCTTCCATAAGAAATAGAAACCACAATCATATGGGAGGAACAGGTGGAAAAGGCCTTTTTCCTCTGCTGGGTTGAGGGGATTTTCAGAATGGTTCTAAGAATGAGTGTATAGGAAAGAATCACCAAGACCAAAGTCACCATGAGGGTGAACAGTGCCAAGAAAAATGCCATAAGCTCTAGCAACTCTGTGTTCGTGCAAGCAATCAGCAGCATAGGAGAAGAGTCACAGGTGAAGTGGTCAATAATGTTGGAGTCACAGAAATCCAGTTGGAGGCCCATAATCACTGGAGGGAAAATTATTAGGAAACCAGAAAACCAGGAGCTGATTACAAGACGGTTGCAGACTTTATTATTCATGATAGTTGTATAATGTAGAGGCTTACAGATGGCTACATAACGATCATAGGACATGACAGACAAAAGAAAAAACTCAGTTGATCCCAAAAAGATAAAAAAAAATACTTGTGCCATGCAAGCATTATAGGAAATGCTTGAGTCCCCTGTTACAATGCTGATCAGAAATCTAGGAATGCAGACTGTTGTAAATGAAATCTCTAACAAAGAGAAATTCCTGAGGAAGAAGTACATGGGAGTTTTCAAATGAGGATTTGACAGTGTTAACACAATGATGGTCAAGTTTCCACTTACGCTCAGTAAGTATGTGATCAACATAAAGACGAATATCACAACTTGTAACTCTGGGTCATCTGTAAGTCCCAGCAGAATGAATTTTGTAACTGTTGTCCTATTTGGCATAGCTAAGTGTTGAATTCTAACATTCTGTGGGTGAAGAAGAGAGGAAGAAGAAGAAGAAGAAGAAGAAGAAGAAGAAGAAGAAGAAGAAGAAGAAGAAGAAGAAGAAGAAGAAGAAAAAGAAGAAGAAGAAATGTCACCTTTTATTATGATTTCAAATACACTCTTAGAGGTCTTAATCTGCATAAAAATTTTTACTAGATAACAAAAAGTGACAAATTAAGTATCCATCAGAATTAAAAGCATTCACCTAAATTTGTTAAAAGATTAGTCTGTTTGATTACTTCTAAAAATTATTTTAATCCCAATTCTGTTTACTTATTTTTTTATTACTCAGTTAAAATAAAGAATTTTTTAACAGAATGATTAATAATAATGATATATGATTAGCTTCCTTATGCTTGAAAAAGATTATATTACCAGAATATATAACAATTTGAAAATATTATTACAATAAATAAAAATTATAATTTTTGTTTAGAAATCTGATTTCTGAGTCCTAGGTTAGCCTTTTTTATAAGTAATTCTTGATTTATATTTGTAGAAAAATAAAAACAATACTGTACATGAGAAATTCACTGAGATACATTCTTTCTTGCACTATGCAAAACTGATCCTACTAGCTATTCTCTAAAGAAATTCACACATATACTTTTGCCCTTATTAATGGCTGCCACAGAAAATTTGTAATAAAATTCTCAAGTAGTCAGTCATAAAATAAGAAAATAAGCCCCCTTAAATCAATTAGGAGTAAATATATTATTTCAGAAAGTTGTTGAAATTTATCAAGTTATACTTTGGAAGAAGAACAATCTGATGATTTTATTGATTTTGGAATATGTGATAAGGAAACAAATACATTAGAATGAAGACAGTAACAATAACATAACATAGAATATAATGAACTTTATTTCCTAATTTTTGTTCTCCTGATTAAGATGCATATAATATTTTCCTAATGTTCATGAAAAGACCAAGTCAATTAAAGTAGGAATTTCATTTCGCAGGTATGGAAATTGGAATAACGAGACATTAGGTCACTTTTTCTTACAGTTACATTAAGAGTATATGAAGTCATTATAGCACCCAGGGCTCTACTGCACCATTTCTGACTAAATTTCAACTTTACTTGTCAAATTAGAGAATGAGATAACATTTGAAAAATACTGATTAGTACTGACATTAAAATTCAAGGGTTTGTTTCAGTTGCATGACCTAAGCTCGGTCTTCATGCATCAATTATTTTGCGTTTCCCATCCTAAATCATAAGATACAAGCAGCAGTGCATAACAGCAAAATGGCAATTTTAGGTAATGAGAATCTTATATTCTCAATGAAACAGACACTCAATGTTTTGAAGATACTCTCCTAAGTTGCTGAGCATGATCTACAGCTACCATAGTAGAAAATAGAAACCAGAATGGTGACTTTTGAGTGAGCCACAGCGTAGTCTGATATTTCAAAAAAGAACAGACACATTGTGTGTTTTTGAAAATTCCTTTAGATGGGTTTGTTTTGAAAGGAAATATCCCTATAATATCCCTGAGGCAGTTTAAATGCAAGGCTTGAGGAAAGGTGCAGAAGACACTGAAATGAGGAAACATAATCCGGTTTCTGTTTTTCCTTCATGAAGTCACACCAGTGAAGTTTAGTTAAGAAAATGCTGCCTATCTCCTTCCTGAAACACGTGACACCAATTTTTGAACTTGGCAGGGATGAATTTTGGAAGAGCTGGGCAGAAATAATAATGGAAGAACTGACAAAATGTTTTCACCACACATTTCAAAGTGTCTGTTTACAGTTCTAAGATTTAGAAACAATGTAGATGTAGAATAAACACACTTACCTTTATATTGATCTGGTCATAGTTTAATTTTCTAATTGTAAGAAAAGAAACACATGTCTTAGATATATCTTTTATCAATTCATTCATTTGTGTCCAGTCATTATTTTTTAAAATATAAAATTTTGTCAGATTTTTCCTATTCATAAGCAATCTATTTATCAATGTGAAAAAAAAAGATGAAAAAAGCTAATCATTATACTTCTAAGAAAAATTATTTTTGGAAGTTAAAAGCTTTGTGTTCCATGATTCCTTTTACATTGTTTAGTCACGCCAATATTTGGATAAATCTTTTCTTCAAAAGAAAGAGTCACATTATATGTGTTTTGGAATATTCTTTTAAAGGAGTTTATTTTGAAGGGAAATATAATTGATGTATCCCTAGAGATGGAAAATAAGTGCTTCTACAATTAATTTTGGTAACATTTTAATCAGGTGCTCCTGGGAAACCTTATGTGTTGGAGGAAGGTAAGATTTTAACTTACTATGAGACTTTGCAGGCAGCAAAGGGAAAGACTGATGAAATAAAGAGTTTCCTGATTAGGTTGTTCAAATTATCTTTCTAGTTATTATTTTAATCATGGAAGTAATCATAAAAGAAACTCTAATCAGAGATTCTGTAGCACAAAGATGGAGAAATACTTCTCCAAGAAAAATTGTAGTTCTCTAGGAGAAACTATGTATTTTTGTTGGGTTAATCAGCAAAGTTTTGCAAATTCTTAAAATAAATACAAGGCATTTAAGGATTCAGAGAGGTTATATGAAACGTGTGAACAGAGATTGGGTATGTTGTGATTTAATTTAAGATGTTATCAGCATAATGGATGTAAGGAGTTGGAATGACTTTATGGGGAGCAGTGGTGACTTCTGAATGGCCTAAAGATATACCTGCTGTAGAGGGCTGAGTTGAAGAACAGTGCACTGAATAAGCAGAGAACATCCCCAAAAGGGAATTTCATGGGTTAAAACAACATAGTGAGATGGGTCCAAAATGTGAATGCACAAGGTGGGATAGAACTATGATCAACCAGTAAAATTAATTGCCCAGACAAATTTGATTAAGTAAGGGCCAAATGGGGAAGGAAGTCACATAGCAGGAGGGGATGCTTAAAGGGAAGTGACTCTTCCTGAAGGGATTGGGATGGTAGCTCCTGTTTTCTTCAGGGTGATTGAGAACTATTGGGACTATAAGTACTTTGGACCTGGTTGCATTTGCTTGATCTTTTGTTTGAGGTCAGGCCCACAGCTGGAGGTGTCTCTCTTCCCCTCAGTTGCAAAGTATCTGGTGTTCTGCACTGGCTCAAGGACCTAACCCTGTTTGACTGCCTATGCCAATTTTATCTAACTCAGTTGTCTGTAACTATACTATCCTAGATGTGTGCTTCTGGCTAATTTGTGAAAGCAGGAGATGAAGTTCATGGTTGCATGAATATTAAAGAAAAGTTTTCTGAGAGTAAATTAAATAATTTAATGTGTTCAAATCTTGTAGAAGAAACTAGTAGAGAAGAAAGTGAGTGAATATTAAAGTTGTGCTCCTGTTAGTTTGAGCTGTAATTAACAATCTCTTTCAGAACACATATATATCAAAGTGTGTTTTTTTTTTAAAGAGGAAAAAAAAGCAATAAAAGGGTACAAGTAGTACAGAATTTCAAGAAAAAAATACAGTAAGAAATCACTAGTTAATAGATTACATACTGTCATCTTAGAAACAGTTGTCCAAATTACAAAATTAAAGCATACAAAGTGGACATTCATATAGTGAGATTGCAGACAGTTCTGTTCAATGATCCAACAAAAACTCAGTAATAAGGTTTTCTATCCTACACACTTAAATATACGTGCAGATATATCCTTTTGGTCACTTTCTTTTCCTCTCTTTTTTACAATAACAATTACACTTTTTGGGTTTTATTACTCTCATAGTTCTTATTACTTTTTTTGAAGAGAATAAAACCAAATGTGACAAAACAAAACAGAGTCAGTTAGAACAGAAGGATGGACATAGTATATGATGCAAAAATAGAATATGAGGTGATCAAAAATGATTACCATGATGCCTCTTGCTATCTTGAAAAGAGTTGCCCATGTCATCAGGTATAATAGAATTGAACAAAACAGTACAGAACAAGACCAATAAAACCTACACTGGGGACCTTACAGGACTTCAAAAGAAGATAATAGTCAAACCATAATGAGTATCGTAGTAAATCTTATTGCTTTCAAAGTGGTTGCCTATAGCCTCAAACTTGATACTATCAAACAAAACAGAATATAGTAAAATCAGACAGAACAAGATGGGGAGAGCAATACTGGGGATCATATCAGGTTAATAGGAAAAAAAAAGTTACTGTAATATATCCCGCTATTTTTTAATTTAGTTTTCCCTTAATTAAAAAATAAGAAAAAGATAAATTAATGAAAAAATGGGAGATTGAAATAAAAGAGGACATAGTAAAAGAATGTCCTCTTTTATCTCAATAAAGGTCAGAACCAAACAATTTAAGCATCATTGTGTTTCACCACCAGATAACGTGACATAATAGTAGTCACCATAGTGTCTCTTTCCTTGAATTATTTGAGTATAACTTCATTTACTATAGCATCAAGCATATTAAGACAGTGTGCAGCCATTCAAGAGAATGTAAGAATTACAGGGTATTTAGAACCAGCTAACAGAAAATGAACAACAGTTTCTGTATTATCTCTTTGCCTAAAAAAACTTTTGTTTATACTATCACATATAGTAAAATATAATAAAATACAACTTGTTAAAACCCATGGAAACTGATGAACAACAGCTTGATGGAACTGCAAGACAAGATGATATTAAATCAGCAGTAGCTATTATGTGTTGTTTTCTTCAAAATTGTTATTTGTACTATCACAGACAATAAAATCGAACAACCCAGATTAAAACCATTCCAATTAATGAGTGAAAACATTAAATGGCTTCAAACCAATATGATTGGGAATCATGATTACCACATACTTTTATGTATTCTTATCATTTCTTACACTAGGGAAACTATTCGGTATTTATACATGTGAGTTTGATTTATCTGGCTTATGAGTATGGTTTCAATCTGCGTCCATTTATTTATAAATATCTCAGTGTGATCATTCTTTATAGCTGAGTAGTACTCCATTGTATAAAAATACC